TCTCGGCGAGGCCCCAGTCAGGAGCACAAGTGGGTATCTGGCTCTAACACACGCTGGGCAGGGTGGCCCCATGGTCTAGAGCTGTGTCACTGGGTCYGCAGAACGTTTCAGAGAGGTCAACAGCCACAAGAGCAAAGGCATTTCCTTGCTACATCAAATTCTGGCAGGCCCACAGCTTGACTGCCACATGCAGTTCTGCTTTCCACAGCTCAGGGAGGATGAGACAGAGATAGGGAAAGAACACAGGAAGAAACTACAGCTGCCTAGTGGTGAACTTTTCCTTTACAAAGAGAAGCTAGAGGTCCTAAGGGTCTTCAGTCTGGAGGGGAGGTGGCGAAGGGTAGACTACGATTGAGAGWTACAAAAATCCAATAGGCTCAAAACTGGAGGATCAGGCACACTCCCGCTGTGGCTGGGAGCACAAGTCCCTCATTAAACCTATCCTGTTTAACCCCTCACAACTCTGAGCACCGACCACAACCAGGCCTCCTGCTCTCCTTGTTCACCATCTCCTCCTGCTGCTGTGAGAAGCAGCACATGGCACTGAAGAGCTTGTTGGCCTGACCTACGTTCTTATGTTCTTAAGCTTATTGAAGAGATTTTGAAATGGAAGATCTAGGGCACAGGTCTGAGCCTCTTCCATCTAATACCAGTGCTTCTCTTTGGCTTGGCAGCTCCACCACCCTGTGGACACACCAACTTTGCCAAAACTCCCTGTTAAAAGTACTCTGTCTCCTAAGGTATGTTGCCCTTCTCTGAACAAAGGCAGATAGTTTAATAAGTTGTGAAAAATAGATTTTTTTTATGGGGAAAAGCACTTGCCACAAAAAAAAAAAAAAAAAAAAAAAAAAAAGGTGCTTTCAGTTTTTGAACACAACCCCCAGACACCTCCCTTGGTTTAGATGTCCTCTCAGTTCAACCCCAATAGTTTAGACCTCCTGCACGTGATGACTAAATTGGACAGAGGTACCAGCACTCAGATGAGCACTCGTGCTGGGGACAAGCAGATCCAGAGACGTGTGGTCCCCTCGAGGCACAAAAGCAGCCTCCAGCAATGCCCTTCACAGGTACCTTCCCCACTGCTCACCAAACCACGCAGCCTCCTTGTTTGCAGGACCTTACCCCAAGTCCAGCCAGATCTGCTTGCACTCCAGGTCTGGCTGCAGTCCTGCGGCTTCATTTCCACCAAAGTAAGTGACGTAGAGCCTTTCAATGGGGATGCCAAACTCCTTGGTGAGAAGCTCCAGAGCCAGCTTACAAGCAAGTTCCTGCAGAAGGAAAGATGAGGTGAGCAAGTGAAAGCAAACAGAGCTTCGCTTCAACACTCAGGACCTGCCCATGGAGGTTGCTGTGCTCACTTGCTGACTGTGACCTAGTCAGGAAACGGTCAAGAACTCGCTGAGTTGTTATGAGAAATATGCAGTGCATGAGGAATATCTCATGTGGCTTCCAGATGCTGCCAAATTAGCCCCTAGCAGGCTTTCYGCCTAGAAGAATCCAAGGCCTCTCAAATCTGCTGCTGCTGTGCATTCTTAACCACCCCTTTGTGAAGCTGAACCCTGCTCTAGCAGAAAGCTTGGGCGAGGACTTTCCTGCGTTGTCAGTGCTCCTGCCTGAGACCCATCAGTCACAGAACATGAAGCTTCTCAGGGCAGCCACTAAAACCTGTACCTGAAAACTCCAACCTAGCAGTCTTATAATCAGCTCTGCATCACTAAGCAATTAATCTAAAAACATCCTGCATGGTGGGTGTTTTTTCCTCATTTTGCTTGTTTATTCCAAAGGAGCCCARTGTGCCTAGGAACCTTTGGAACCACTCCAAGGTTATTTTCATTCCTTTTGGCCCTTTTGTATGACAAATACTCTGCCGAATTTGTGAAGAAAAGCAATTTTTGCACAAAAGATTCAGAGCGGCCAATTTTACCTTGAAATAATCCCCAAAGGACCAGGACCCCAGCATCTCAAAGAAGGTGTGATGGTAGACGTCCTTTCCCACGTCGTCCAGGTCGTTGTGCTTGCCCCCTGCCCGGATGCACTTCTGCGTGTTGGTAGCTCTGCTCAGCTTGGCGAGCGGGTGCGAGGGGTCGATAGTGTTGAGGAAGATGGGTTTGAACTGCGAGCAAAGAGGGGAGAGAAACCTGAGCCAAGGAAGACACCATAAGCTCATTTTCCAACGCTGCGAGCTACAGSAAGGCAGTGGGTGTTATGCAGCTCATGATATGTCACCAGCCTGGACGCAGCCGAGACCATTCTGGAACACCCAGCCTGTGGTCTCCTGCACAGAGGACTGCCTGTAACCCAGCACAGGCACGCGTTCCGGCAGGACACTGAGTCCCAAAAAGGGACTTCCAAAGGGGTGGAAAGGAGCAGGATTCCAATCTGACAACAAAACCAGCGCTGACCTCCTATGAAGCACCTCCAGCAGCCCCAGCCCAACCAGTCATTTTAAAATCTATTAGTCAGGATTCCTCACGGCCCCGTCTGCAGCCCTAGCCGTGGTCCAAAGGGTCAAGGCAGGGATGCTGGCCRTGCTCCCGGGGCCACACAACCCAGCGGACAGGGGAAGCTCTCCCTGCGTTGCYGCCAGCTCCGCAGTGGCGCAGGGCGCTCCGGCGGATGCAGCAGCCCCCTCTCTGCAGCGGGAACAGGGGATCCGTGCTTTTCCGCAGAGGACACTGCGGGTTTGCTTGAAAGCTCTGTCCAAGGGACAAATCTTAACCTCGCTAAAGGGAATTCAGCGCAATGTGTGGAAGCTCGGCCCAGCCACTGGAAGGTGAAGAGAAAGGAGGATTTCCTGCACGCTGGAGGGTTTATGGAGCCAGGAACACCTGGAGAGGGGCCACTCGAGAGGGGAGCGGCGAAGGGMGCGGGAACCCGACCTGGTTCATGCCGGCGTTGGCGAAGAGCAGCGTGGGGTCGTCCAGGGGGATGGTGGAGGAGGAGTGCACGTAGGTGTGCTGGTTTTCCTGGAAGAAGGCGATGAAGCGCCGCCGGATCTCGCTGGCCGTCAGCGCGCCTGCCATCCTGGCGCCGCCGGGAGGGCCGCCCCGGGCCTCGCTGCGCTGAGGGGACGGCAAGGGACCGGGCTGCGACACCGACGCGCCTTTGCGGCGCCCCTGAGCGCGGCCCAAACGCTCCCGCCCGGCTCCCCGCCCGCCCCACGCGGCACGTCCCTGC